CGCCGAAAGACAACCGACAAGGGATGCCCGCCGGCGGGGGTGGCACCGTCTGGATTGCCCATGGCGGCCAGCTGTCGAGCTACGATTGGAATCTGAGCCATTCCGGAACGATTCGAACGCATTTGGAGGACATAACCTCGATTTGTCGAGTGTATCCTGACATCGCCGCCGTAGGATCCGAATCATCTGCGGGGCTTTACTTCTACGACTTCTCCGGCGTGCGAAACCTCGGGTCGATCCACTGGACCGACCCGAACGATCCGAGAATCTTCAAGGCCCGAGTCACCGCCATTGCCGACTCGCCGGGCTCGGTCTTCGCGTCGTTCGATTGCCCGCACCGAGAGAATTGCATACTCTTGATCGACAAATCCACGCTGAAGATTGTGTCGGAGCTAAGCCGGCAGCCGGGGAGCTCGGCGAAGAACCTAGCCGTTGGAAAGCTGAGGTGGCTTCCAGAGACGAGCATGGTAGTTGGGAGCTCGGTCACGAGCGGCGCGTTTGGGTACTCGGGGTATATCCGAATTTGGGACCCGAGGGCGAATGAGATGGTTTGGGAAGCGATCGAGCCGGGTTCGGGCCGGAGCAGTAGGTTCGGGGACTCATTCGCTGACGTGGATGCCGACGTCGAAGAGTCGACCCTGTTCAAGGTGTGTTCAAAGTCTGGGGATTTGGCAGTGGCAGACTTGCGTAAACTAGGCGATGATCCGTGGGTTTATTTACAAGACAAGAACCCGAGCATGAGGAACACAAGCGGCGATCGGCCGGTTGGCCATAGCAGTAGTGTAATTCGCTGTTACAGAAAGCAAGTGTTTGTTGGGAGGGAAGGTGGGTTGGAGGTTTGGTCGAGAGTGGGAAAAGCAGAAAACTGGGTGGCAATAGAAAATGGGGTTTGTGAGGGGTGGTATAGGAGGAATTTTGTGGATAAAGTTGAGGATTCTGAGAGAGGGGTTATACAGAAAATCGAAGGCGGCGGAGATAGGCTCTTTGTGATAAGAGAAGAAGTTGAAGGTGTTGAGGTTTGGGAGAGCTCTTGTTCTTCTGGTGCAGTTTCAGTTTTGTGATTAAGAAGGAGGCTCTGTAATATCAAACACTGTATTGGTACTATGTTTTGCGTTTCTGGGCATATTGGCATTATGGCACATTGTCTCCTTTACCTGGTATTTTCTTATGTAATTACGTGCTAAGAGAGGAGTTACCTTGAAAGAAAGTTGGTATGGAGTGGAGGAATGTCAACAATGAGAAGTTTGCATCATTCACATGATTGAAGGCTTTCAATTAGCTTAGTCTCATTTGTAAGCACTTTTAGATTCCATCGTTACTCTAATCAGCAGTGCTTTCGTTTGTTTGTTGGTACCGTCGTTACACTCATCTCATTGTTTAGAGTTTAATCTGCAGAAGTCAGGGCCAGTGATTGCAGACATGTACGTCAACAACGCATTTGCAAATTGCTGGTATGTAGACGCATTTTGAGACACTGTGATCCGCTTCTTCGCTTGACCTGCATTTTACCTTATTTGCCTCTGAGATCTTCTCTTGATGTTAGTTTGTAAAGTTGATGTATACTTTTCCATGCCATTTTCTTTGTTCTTACTTGCATGATATTCTGCATTATCGCTTAGGTAGACATTCTACACAAAGTGTACTGCTGAAAAGAATTAGTAATAATCACACTAACCATGCACATGCTTGCACAATTCACACAGGAATAAAACTTGCAGTATTTATAATTCTTTTTAGTTTCCTTTAATAATTAAGATTTGAAATAATTTGCCTTAAATTTGTGACTTCTCACACCAGGGGACCAAAACTCTTCTCATGCAGGGGTTTGGGATTTTTGTCAATGTCAATACCGCCAGTACTTTCTAAAGCCACAGGCACCTGAGTGTATATGAGACTGAATGCGTAGGTAACAAACAGAAAATCCTCTTCTACGTGGTTCTGGTTCTAATAGCCATAGGATTTATTTTTATTTTTCTTGAACTGAAGCCATACGGTGCAAAGTGACAAAACCTCTCTCTACTTTGCAGATGAGCAAATTGCGGAAATTTTTGGTCTCTTAACTTAAGCATGCAACCATGTGCACTGCAAGGTTGTCCATCTACTTTGAATGTCCCTCGGCCAGTTGGTCTATCAGGAGGCAGAATTGGGGTTTGCCACATGATTTAATCCCCTAATTTCTGATTGTTTGTGGCAAATCAAGATCAAGAAAGGTAACTCCCCCAGTTGGAACATCATTTGTACTTTCAGTAGTAAGTTGTGTTATTGCTCTACAAGCTGATCCTCGGGAAGCTAGATATGGTTATGAACACGGTATGATTGACAAGATCCATGAGGCCATCCGCATGAGTCTGTTCTGGGTTCTTACACACATCTTCTCCTTGGAGCCATAAATAGAATCGGTGATATGAGCTGTGCTGGTATTTTCAAGGGTTTATTAGTGAAAGAGGTGACTAGCAGGTACTTGATCGATGTTCACTTGGTGTGCAAGTGGACTGATGTTCAGAAGACAAGGAAACACCGGGCCGCTACCAGGGGATGAGGAAACTAATGAGCGATTTGATGATTTGTTGTACAAATATGATTATCAGAATGAGCAGATAAGTGGTGTATGAAGTCAATTGCAGAATGGTATGTGCTGCTGGGTGTCATTGATCCGCAGATAATGTATTCGTCAGCAGTGTATGAAATCTGTTACCAGATAATGAAATACCCTCCTTATGCAATGCAAGCACTATTTTTAACAATTTTGACTATTGTGAGGTACAACTCCAATCTTCACAATCTCAATCATGAAGAATTCTTTTAATTATTTATTTATACTCGTTTTTATTTTTAAATAAGCACCTGAACCAATCATAGAGGCAGGGCTGTTTTAAATACGAGCTTCGTAGTATCATACTCAACTCAATTAACTAAAATATTTGTCTTCAACTTTTTATTTTATAAAAAGTCAGAAACCAAGGGACTGAAAATACGAAAATATTTGTCTTCTAAAATTGGTGGCAGAGCAGAATGTCAACGTGTGGAGTTTAGACATCAATATCCTCACGCGGCAGGGAAGAACATGACTTAGATGTTTATTAATTAAACTTCTGCTAAATTAGATTATTAAGAGGAATGCAACATAAATTATTTGTTTGCTACACTGGACAGGTCTATTCTTCTTTAGTTAAAAAGGAAAAAACCTTCTAACTGTGCAAGTTCTGTGAACTAAATTCTTCCATTGGCAAAACTCTGTTAGGCTGCTGTTCTTTCTTTCTTCCTCCCCAACTGTTCCTCCTCAGTCCTCCTCACAAAGTGAGATGTTAGAAATGTTAACTTTGGTGAAGATCACTGGTAACTAGACATAGCTACCCTTTGAGCCATTACTTGTTATATGTTTGACTTTTTTTTAATCTAATCTTCCATCATGCATAGCATTTTCTTTAATTCTTTTGCTTCTGCTCCTAAACTGTACGTAGTGCTGACATGGGCGGATGTCCTCGCTGCGTATGCAATGTGGATGACCATGGTATACTTAACTGAGGTATGGAAGCTCAATTTCACACATGCTGCTGCAATTGTCAATTTGTACTGGGGCATTGTAGCCGTACTACCAGTGGGCTTGCAATTTCTTGTGGATGCTTTCATGGGTAACTATTGGATGGTCTTGGTCTCCAGTTTCGCGTACAGTGCTGTAAGTTAATTTCTTCCAGTCAATAAATCACTGTCATTCAGTACCATATTAATCATTTTCGACTGCAGGGCTTGGGTTTTTTGTCAATGTCAACACCACCAGCTCTTGCTGGGGCAACAGGCACTTGCAGTGCATATGAGCCGGAGTGCATAGGCCAAGGACAAAAAATCCTCTTTTATACAGCAGTAGCTCTAATAGCTGTGGGAATGTCTGGTCACTTAACCTCATTAGGGGCATTCATTGCTGAGCAGTTTATGGACTCACAATCAGACCTTGACGACAGCATGCCCTGTCACTTTTTCCTGAGCTTCTTGATGGTGATCCTCATCCCTATAGCCGGAGTTTTTGCTATTTATTATATAAAGCCTTGGTCAATTAGGTATGGCATCCCAGCCATATGTACCTTGGTAGCAACACTTATTTTCTTGACTGGTTCGTGTTCATATCACACTCATAGAGCACAAGGCAGCCCTCTCACTACTCTGTTTAGGGTGTTTGTGGCCTCTGCCTCCAAAATATTCAGAAGATGCCCGAGAGATGCCTCTCATCTCTATGAAAAACGTGATGATGGTTATCAGATATCTCATACTCATCGCCTCAGGTTTTGACTCTTCTATTTTCGATATGACACAACACATGCGCACATGCACATAAAAGAGTGCAACCCTTGCAACATATTTTCTTTGATTGTTAAGAGAAAACCCGACACTTTTTTTTATGTATATGATATTTAGGTGTCTAGACAAGGCTGCGATTATATTAGCCGCCCAACCTCTAGAGCAACAACAAAATAATAGGTGGAGGCTTTGCAGAGTCACAGAAGTGGAAGAAACCAAAAGCATCCTATGCATGATTCCCATATGCACAACCTTTATCCTAATGGGTGTTGTATCTTCTATTGGAAATACCTACTTTATCGAGCAAGCAACTCACATGAATCGAAAAGTTGGACGCATAAAGGTTCCTCTTCCAATCCTTCTATGGTTCTATGACCGTGCCAAACAACAATTTGCCAAAAGCTACTTCCAAATTGGAGGACTAACAAGGTATGGCCCCCTAATTGGAATTGCTGTGTCAATGATATTTGCAATTCTATGTTGTATCACAGCTGCAAAAGTGGAGACAAGAAGGTTAGGCGTGGTTAAGAGACACGGTCTAATTGACAAGCCTGAGGAAACAATTCCCATGAGCATCTTTTGGTTGCTTCCACAGTTTCTTCTCCTCGGAGGCCTTGATGGGATTGCAGACAATAGCATTGGTTGGTTCTTCATTGATCAGGTCCCTCCATCCATGGCTCGGTACATGGTTCTATTTGCTATTGCTCTTTTTGGAGTGGGGATTATGGGCAGTGTCTTGTCAGTTTATCTAGTGGGTGAGATAAGTGGAAGGGGAGGGAAACCCAGTTGGTTTCAAGAGACTCTAAACAAGAGTCGTTTGGATCAATATTATTGGACCTTGGCTGCATTGGCTGCAGCTAATCTTGTTCTGTATGTTTTGATGAGCATTTGGTATGCTTATAACGATTTAAGGTTGGAGGACGACGAAGCACCTGATTATGGGGAAACTGCTGAGCCATTTGATGATAATGTGCAATGCTGCTGCTGTTGTGCATAGATTTTCCTACGGATATGCATGTGTAGCCATGTTTCTTCCGCAAATACAAATCTTTTCACGTTAAATCAAGAAAAGAAAAAAATAAGATAATTATTTTATCTAAGTCATGCGTGGTTTGTATAATGATGCACTCTACTTCTTGTTGGGGTTGCTATTGGATTTGTACCTATTGCTAATGAGCCATTTGGTTCCAAGACACTCTGAACAAGTACATGTGTTCTTTATATTTACAGTGCAAGTGAAAGCTCCATTCAAAGAAACCTCTGCAAATGACTTTCCCTTCACATGTAACCTGAAAAATACATCTTTGTGTGCATATTCATTTAGAAGTCACTATTTACAAGACAGAACGAAGTAAAAGAAGTGCCTGTTGCAATAGAAACTCGAATCAGTGAAGTTGGAATTATCAAAAGCCTCAAAAGACACATCAAGTCAGCCCCTTAATCATAATTTGAAGGAGAAAGTTGATAAAATAATGCAGGAGTTTAACCATAATTTGTCGCAGTACCTCCAGAGTTGAAGGAGAAAATAGAAAAGGTGAACACAGAGATTTATAAGGAAATTGAGAGAGTCTGTGGTGGCCACAGACAGTGGCGGATCCAGGAATTTTTCAGCGGAGGTGCAATTTTTAAAAGCTAAGAGCTCAACCAAAAAAAAAAAAAGGACAACTACACATCCCGGTATTCACTCGAAATTAATTAAATACATAAATAATTAAATAAATAAATAAATAAAAATTAATTATACCTTGAATAACATGTCACGTAGCCCGGTATTCACTTGAGTTTGCTACTGATTTTACTAATACAGAGAGAGCTAAATAACCACACACAAAAATATATTAAAAAAATAATAAACAAAATTGGAGTTTGCTCAAAGAAAAAAAAATGCATTCAACTTACTTTGGATTGGCCTACTCAAGAAGGAAAAAAAACGCAGGATTCTTGTGATTCTCACACACTTTGATGAAATTGGGTGATGTTAAATTGGTCTTTTATAGAAAGAATTCCCAATCCTACTTAATTAAGGAATTCCCAAAACCAAATTAAATAAAGATAATTCTCAATTAAAACCCAATTAAGTAAGGAAATAAAACTATTTGAAAAGCCCACAAAAAAGCCCACGTTCAGCATCAGTTTCCCTTTTTTTTATTATTTAAAAACCCTGGTCCAAAACGACGTCGTTTTGGCCAGGTTTTTTTTTTTAAAAAAAAAGGGCAGCAACAGCTTGGTCCAAAACGACGTCGTTTTGGCCAGGCTTGGTTAAAAAAAAAACATGGGCGCGCGCGCAGCGCGCACAACAGCAGCAGCCTACAGGCAGGCAGTCTCTTGCGCATTTCATCGAACACCTTATGTGCGTTGCTGGTCTGAAGCAGAGGTGCAACTCCAGCACCTCTAATGGTGATTTCCGGCTACCGGAGGTGCAGGTGCACCTCCTTGCGCCTGCACAGATCCGCCAATGGCCACAGAGATTTCTTATGTTGTTAAAATATGAAAAGTCTATGCTGGCCAATTTCGAAGCTAAATCAGACACACATATGTGAATTAACAAGGGCAAGTTTCCCTTTCATCAAGCCCTTATTTTGAAAAATAAAAATAAAAGAAGGAATTATCTAATATAGAATAGTATAATGAGAATGCCGTTAGAAATTAAAATAGAACATAAACAAAACATAAAAAAACATAACATAAACAGCCCTTATTTCTTCTGTCGTTCTGCATAGCTGTATAAGAATCATTATTTACAAAACAGAACAAAAAAAAAATTCTATTGTAATGTTCGAAGCATAGCAAGATCTAACTCTTTGTGGCAGCAGAACTTACAATAAATAAGTAGTTCTTATCTTCCAGTTAATCATATATTTAAGTACAAACTTCATAATTAATCAAAACAACAAAAGTTCCATGAGTTCTAATACAAACATGCAATAACTAATCAAAACAACAAAATTCCAAGAGTTCTAATACAAACATGCAATAACTAATCAAAACAACAAAATTCCAAGAGTTCTAATACAAACATGCAATAACTAATCAAAACAACAAAATTCCATGAGTTCTAATAAACGCATGCTAGCAAGTCAGTTAACCATGACGACATTGATATGTCATGGTAGACCGTATGTTTGTACCCTCTAAAATCTGTTGCAAGGTCTCAACTGCTTGATAAACTTGGGAAGGTCGTGTACGCAATGCAACTGTTTCCCCTAATGCCACGAGCGGCCTAGTAAAGGACAACATACGCTCGTCACGCTCCTGTAACAAATTTGAATTCAATGCCTCAATAAAAAGTGCAAAATTGAAAAAATGGAAGTCAATCAAAATTAAAAAATTTACCTGATAATATATGCTTTGCATTGAGGCAAATGGGTCAAATGCAGCTCCATAATTAGGATTCTGGACAAACAGATATCCCACGTTGAGGTACCACTCCAAGTACCCAGGCATAGTATCTGATGGTCTCCTCACTGGTACACTACGGTTCGCCTCTCCCAACATGTGGTTCTCCCGATTGTCCCACATTTCCCCAAAGTAAGAATTATAGGAATTGGCACAACTACCTGTTTTGGTTGGAGCACTTATTCTGGGAGGAATCGTCTGCACTCGACCAAACTGCCTAAGAACCCGCTCAGGATGGTAGGGCTCAATAACATCACAACATCTGAGCATCCCTGAGTAGAATGCAACATCTGGAAATGGGTGGTGTTCCCTTTCAAACTTGTAAGGTTCCCATATACCCTGAAATATGATACATAATATAGCATGAACCACTGGAATATACATTCCTAAACCAAAAAAATATATATATAATACAAAACACAACAAAGTTGGATGATATGTAAGAGAAACACACCTGATCAGCATTCAAAGCTTCAAGCCACTGTCTATACTTCTGCACGTCTATCGATGTTGTGCCATTGTCTCGACGTGGAATCCAACGAAGTGCACGAGGCTAGACCTCTAAATAATCAAGGTCATGATCAGGGACAACAACACCATGCATGTGCTCATACACCCATGCCTCCAACAAAGTCATGTACCCAACAATCTGCTTCACCTTAGACCTCGAAGCTTGGCCTAATTGTCTATACAACCATGCTAAGCACCCAGAACCCCATGAATAACCAGCAACACTATCAAGGTACACAATTTGGACTCTTGTGCCAGTCTTGTCAACAAACAAAGTGCAACCCAAGAGATATAGCAAATATGCTCTGGCCGAATACATGATGTACTCCTCTAAATCTGTGTCTGAAACATTGGAGAATCGCGCTCGTAACCATGACAAACTCACATACTCATCACTGTATTGATGCAATTGTTCAGTAGCCTCTTTATCAGTCACTCCTAAGTACTTAACTAACAACTCAAAATTTGTGTCGTCATCATCTCCAAGAGGAGCAACTGCTGCACCAGACACATGAATGCCTAAAATAGATGACACATCATCCAATGTGATGGTCATCTCACCAAAAGGCATGTGAAATGTGTTTGTTTCAGGATGCCACCTCTCAACAAATGTAGATACCACAATCTTATCAGCATTCCGATAAGAACACCTAATAAGGTGCTCTAATCCAGACCTCTGAATGTACCATTTGAATATACCATTATTTGGATTACCCCACCAATTC